GTTCGGCTCCTCAAAGGGTCCGCCACCATTCTCTATGCATTTTGTATTATATGACATCCAGATAATAATCTGTAATATATATTATCTTTCAAATATCATATCGGGTACATGATTTTCCTTATAAAGTGGTGAGGTCTCTTGAATACAAACCATTCGTCAACATAAATGAAACGGCACACAGGATGCAGCATGTACGCTACGTGGTAATTAACCTTCCTTATGACTGGAAAAAATGAGGAAGACTTATATTTCTGTTATATGCCCGAAAGAAATAATAATTGCTAATGTACGCTTCGAAAATTATTTTCGACTTTAGAAGAGCATCAACGTTTCTACAAACACATAAATGTACACTAATATAGGCGCGTTCAAAAAGCAGCATCCGACCACACTAATTCACTTTCTCTTCTCCTACAATGATAATATGACATGATCGTCAATAGAGTTTTAATAAATGGACTGCTTTAACCTGAAAGTTTTTTATAATTATACCGAGTAGTCCTTTATCATGAAAGATACTTTGGAATTACTAACAAAGTTTTGTTACCTGACGTGATTGCAATATATAATTTATGCGTAGGCCATTTGATATCCAATACCATATCCATTCTAAGAAATCGTTTCAAAACGAGATAAACCGCATTTTTGTAAACGTTTTACGTACGGCGGCACACTGCACTTCACTCAGATTTTAAGACCGTAAAACATAGGAAATTGAAAGAAGAATTAACACATTTGATAGACGAGTCATCGAAAAGCAAGTGCTCAAACCTACATCGGTCTATTGGGTGTTGCAACTGCAGGAGTGCGATGTCAAAGCCAGAGCTTGATACGTCGTATGTGAAGGAGGGATGCATCATTACGCCTGTCACTAGACGGGTGAAAGCTGGAGGATTCCGGGCCGTGAAGTTGTGGTCTGCCACACGAACAGCCATCTGATGTCCTGTGACCTCATAATAAGAGAAGAGACGGCCAGAAGGGACACTTTTGCATTTGAGGCCGCTCGTAAGACAGTGCGCAGCCGTCAGAACCCACCTCGATGCAATCAGGGTTCCTCCACAATGGGGATAGGAACCCAGGGCAGAACTGTAGACTCCAACCTATGCAACATTAAATGACAGGCTGGATGACCTATTTCATGAAAAGTGTCATGATTTAAATTGGGTTAGATGACAGTTTAGGCTTCATTCGGTCATACAATTAATCTGTTGATTTTAGTTTAGGTTCAGGACACAACAACATGCGCTGGCTTGTAAATCGGTAGAAAACTTGCATCACAATGGCAAAATTGGACTTGAGGAGATATCCAGAAAATAGTATATATGCCGTTTTTGTTTTATCGTGGATCAAAACCTGTTCTTTTTCTTAAGCGGGAAAAGTGACTTAGGTTTGATCGTCAGCACAAATTCGTTCAAAGCTGACAGAAAAATCAAAACTTTTCCATACATCTAAATATTTAGATTTTAAAGTATGGTTGAAAAAAAGTTACGCAACAACTGAACTGCTAAAACGACGACTAAGGACAGCATTCTTGAGTGCGTTCCCGGGGCAGACTTACAAATATACTTTACCAACTCTCCGCTTTTGCGAATATGAAGTATGGACAGATTACCGTTACAGGCCACGTCCATGTGCATCTATTATGTTACCTGGTCCTCTGGGGTGGGATATGTTGGCCTAACAACGCGAAGCCTGTAGAAACGAATACGCAAGGACATACAAGTCTGCCGGAGCAGAGGAGAGAATTTATCGATTTCAGGCTCAATCGTCGTTCTCCTAATTGTTACGAATGGACAGGCATTGACACACTACTCCAAAGACCTGGGCAAACGGGTGCTAGCCACAGCGGAGGCAGGGGTAGTCCATTTAACAAAACCTACTCTCTGCTGTCAATAGGCGTCGGTAAAAGCAATGTACCCCTCTTGGCCTCAAAACACGTACAAATCCCACGCCTCCTGAAGTCATGCTGCCTGAAAACACACCAAATGAAGCCACCGAGAACAGTTAGGCGCACTCTGACCGCCAGGACATCCCGCTGTCTGGTTTGCCCCTTGCAACCGATGTCCTAAAAGCGCTGACACCGGCACTTAGAACAGGTAAGATAACCCAGATGCATAATTGGGTCCACCATGTCTCAACCCAAACCTGACAATCATAAGAAGACTGCAATTAACTGACCCTCTCCATTTTACTCTATCGGTCTGATGATGAACGACCAAAAACAGTTTATTGCCAGCCTGACTCTTCTATCGTAAAATGGGATGCTTTCAAAAAATACTTACATATATATTATATAAATGAACACCTGATTAAGGTGCTTTGTCAGTATATTTTGAACATAGCCTTAATCTTTAAATTGACTTAAAAATATAGCAAGATTGAAATGCTTATGGGTGTCTTGTAAAACAAGTCAATAAATATATAGAGATGGTACATATTAATTTAAATATTCAGTAGTAATTTCCACAGTATAAACAGATCGTACCTTAGACGCAATTAAAGTATATCTTGAGTATACGGTAATCACCATGATAACCATAATTAATACTCGTTTCAAACGGAAACACACTTGACAAGTTTGCCTCACCAGTTATAAGATAAATTATCTACTGTTATGTTTCGGGAAAACAAATCAAAATTGCTGCGGCAGCCATGCACTGACATGTTTTTGTCATCACGAATTGAGGCGTAGGTTCGCAACCCAGGGGCGGATATATGTTAAGAACAGTGTGTGTCAGAAGCGACCGAAGGCATTGCCGCGGGACCAGGTGTCCGAATTGCACACCGTCCTAAATCAATAATGCTCAGCCGCGTCATGAGAATCCAGGATAGATTGAATACCAATGAAAAGTAGGATGTAGTGTATCGCAAACCATGTCATAACTGTCCCTTAAATTACGCGGGACAGACTTGACGCAAGCTGGGTTCGCGCATACACGAACATAAGCTGGCTGTTCGACGGGGTGACACATTGTAGAAAGTAGCAGCCCGCACTAACGAGACGGGTCACGAGTTAATCTTCGCAGCCTCGAGGATAATTTTTCCATGCTGGAACCAAGACGGGCCGATAACTGATTGAAGCCTGTGCGTGGGATGACAACTCACTTAACCGATATTTCGAGGTAGGGCCCTCCGTGCGAGGTGAACGCCATTCAAACGGCGTAGACTGGACGCTCACATGTACTATGGTCTGCCAAGACAATGTCCATGCCGTACGCCGCGACGACCCGATACAAGATGAACCGACCGCCTGCGACGAGAAAGATGCAGTGAGCGACCGTCGAAAGCCATCTGAATAATGTAATCATATTTCTAAACAAAAGGGAAACGGACCCCGGGGCAACATTGTAGCCTCCAACCTATTCACAAAAAACTGCACGCACATCCCATGTACTTATCATTAAACGTTCCTATGTAAACTTCAGTGGGTAGTTTAGCCTGTATTTTATTTTGCTGTTTTGATTTATTGGTCGGAGTTGAGGTTCATGGCACCTGTTTTTAACAGAAGTGGCCACATATCTCAGATATGTTCTGCGACAGTAAGGAAACAACCTGCTGTTCCTTGCGTTATGTAGAAAGTCAGTTCTGTCGTTTTAAGCAAATAAAATATATCAGGTAAACCAAAATCCTGCCAAAGATTTCCCTCTCACGTTGAATGACACTATATAATAATAAAAACAAGCAGACATCCGTTTTCGAAAACCTACTGAACGTGCTTCTCAACGGTAATATTTGTTGCGGAATATTTTTAATTGATACTAGCGGAGAGCAACAGTTAATGACGACCTGAAAGGATAGGAAGTCCATCATCGTAAATATTTTAAAGAAAGTGTACGAAAGGGATGTATTATGCGTATGTACTAAGTAACATATTTAAGATTTACGCTGAAATAATAAATCAATTTATTTATCAAAAATACGGTGCCTTTTTGTTTGCGGAATTTGAGGCTTGTTTGGTAGCGCGTCTATTTGTAGGAAAATAAATGAAACATTTTAAACATTCATTTGACTTTTATGGTTGCATTTAATTTCGCCTTTTTTTAAAAATTGACTTATGCTTAAATACCACTTGGATGTAAATCAGAAATTTTCCTAAACTTTGGCATTTTGCGTCAACTGTATCCTTGTTCTGTATCATAAATTAAAATATTTTGATTTTACCATAGTTGCGATAAAATTAAACCAAAAAATTCTAAGATGTATGCACATCTTACGTTACGTAAATATGTCTAGAAAATGTTCCTGTGCTGAACTTAATTATATGGATGCCCAAGTTGAATTTCTAGAACCCTCAAATCCCAAAAGTAATTACTGAAAACATTCATCAACATTTTATTTGTCTGCCTGCTTGCCCAAAAACTACGTTTTCGTCGAATATTGCACTTGAAGAAACGGTGTCTTTTTTAGTACAAAAACCCTTCTTCAATATGGGATAGGCTTGAAGGTAATCAACCACTTCCGTAGGAATCAAGGATTCGACTTCAGAGGAAAGCCATGCAGTGTTTTACACTGTGATTTAGAGAGCACATACATTTATAACAATTCGCAAAAAGTGAGAATCGTATTGTATACTCTACAGATTACAGGGTACAATGTGCTCTAACTACACATATAACTGTGTTTAGAATACAGGCGTAACAGGAGACGTGTGTATTTCAAATTATAAAATTTCTTAAAATGGAGAATTTGTAATAAACGTCATTTGCTACTAAATGTGCATAACAAGTAATATGCTTGTAAATATGTTCAGGAACCATATTTACAGTTCAAGGGTAATGCAACTTGGGGAGTCAATTGCACGAAATTTCAATAGTCATGTACTCTGGCATATAGTTTTGAAGGTAAGTGGAAACAGGCTTGGTAAGATGCTAGCCGCTAGATTTGATTGCGGTTTATTTTGTTGCACGATTATCATTGTCAAATTCCAAGCAGATATTTGTTATAATCCAATCGCTATTTAAGAATACGATAATGGTAATTTTAGCATCTACCACTTCCGGGACTTACATGCCAGGGCCAGCTGTTTGGCGGGGATTCTGTTTTTTCGTTTTTGTAGTCTTGGGGTCGCGTCTGCGCCATCGACCGTTGCCCACATTCTTGCGACTGAATCCCTTCCTGAACTGTGGCATAAAAATTTCCCGAACAGATTAGTAATCAAAAACATTATTATTATGTATTTAGGACTATAACATGTTTTACTAGCAAAGCTATAGAGCAGGTTAATTAATATGACAAAGGCCTTCTAACGCAGCATGAATTTAAACAACTTCTTAACTTTTATCATATCCATTTCAAAATAATGCGGCAAGTTTTGCCTAAATAACACGTAATAGCAGTTTATACCCAGTACGGCGATCCAAAGGTAACATCCGCCAAGAACGTAGACTGTAAACCGCATTTCGAGCCAGAAGAATGCAGCTGTGCTGATGCAAAAGCACAGCTTGGCAGACCTTCAAATGAGAGAAATTGGTTGCATCATAGTGAACCATTAGGAGGCATCGAAAACAGGGTTTACGATGTGTTAGTTTTCAGCCTACTTGTTTTTTTACACGGCACAACTTAACCTGACTTATTTTGGAGAAGATAGCGTTCTCCAAACGTGAACACGGAAGGTGACTGTTGTTTGTCAAAAAAAAGGGTAATCGATTTTGCTAAACCAATGAAAACCATTATGCACCCGGTCTGTTGTAGTGCATGAGGAGATAATCATTTCTGAAGATGAGAAAATTCCCATCAGATAATGTAGAAGAATAGGGGACGTCCCTACATATACTTTCAATAAATTCTCATCGGACCAGCTGCATTTATATAGGAAGGTTAAGCGTTACGTGGTAAATTGCAGGTAATTATGCCCATAGTTACAGGCAAAGTAGTCATGGGAATAGGGAAGGGGTTGGTAATTTGTGGCTGGTAACGCGGCAATAAGGGGACGGGG